TAAACCTTTTTATTTGGAGAAAGATACAATACTGTGAAGGAAACGAGAAAATGGTGTTATGTATATGAATAAAACATAATGCGCGGATTTTTATCAGGCAATGTCGATATTTCATTAAAATATGTCTATGGGGAAAATTTAATATAAAAAACCGATATAAAATCTCGATAACAATACGTTTTTGGTTTCATCAATTTTGTATTTCCTTTGACATCAAAAATTTGAAGGAAATAAATAGACTTTTTTGGTTTTATATGAAATGAAGTTAATTTTTAAACGAAGAAAATTTAGCCTAAAATTTAGGGTAAATATAACGAGATTTAAGCGTCGCAAACAATGTAAAAAGTTTTAAACTTTTTCTTAGGTGATTTTAAATGAAAAAGTTTAAATATACTAAAGTAAAAGCGGGGGGGCTTACAAAAAAGTATTGACTTTTTTATAGAAAAGTAAAAAAGGTGTAGCCAAAGGCGAGGAACAAAAGTTTTGTAAAGTTGTAAAAAATTCTTCCTTGATAAAATCAATAGGTACTTATATTTTAATAGTAATTTTGTTTAATTATGATAAATTAATGCAAGCGTCAAAAGCTTTATGAATAAAACATGAAAATTATATTTATAATTATAATGCATCGATGCCGATACGCGTATCAGTGATACCTAGGAAATGCAATCTTGCAGGAAAATGTACAATCTTGGTATAGCAAGATTTAAGAGGTGTAATCTCGCAAGATCTCGTATTTTGCGAGATCTCGCAGATTTAAGATTAAAAAAAAAGAAATTAATATAATTATTTGTATTACAACTTTGTTAGGTTTTATTGTAAAGGCAAAATAATGAAATAAAACATAACTTAAATAATTTCTATTCCACTCATTACTTTATGGACCAATCAGATTTCAGAAACCAAGTATTTTTTTCAGTGTTGTGAAATAGTCTTGCCGAATATCCCTCGTAATAAAATTTTCCCTGATTTTTATTTACTCAAGATTTTTCCTAGGAAACATTCGTATAAAAATCAAAAATTTTATCGGTAAAATTTTACCACTAGTGCTATATAATATTATAAAGGAATAATCATCACTGAAGCAAAAAACTTAAACAAGACTAAAATTATTTATTGAAAAAACTATACATTATTTTGAAAATGACTTCTCAAAAAACACAAAACACACATGGAATGCGCTGCGTCCTAATCTCGCAAATTTTGCGATTTTCGTGCAAGACTAATCTTGCAGAATTAGTGCGAGATCTTGGTATTTCGAGATATTGGTATACCAAGATACCGGATACTTACCGATATGTATCGGCGATACCGATACTGATTGTAAATTTAAAAAGACTGACTGACAAACCAAGTGGTTAAATTTTTTCACATTTGTATTTAACTTTTTTAACTTTTTAAACCTTTTTTTATTGAAAAAAATAATTGACTTGTTTTTTTGCTTATATAATATTTTCAGAAGGTATAGGGATAGATATCTAATATATCGGTATCCGTATGTAAGTATTCAATCTTTAATAATAAATGTAATACAATTTCAAAAACAAAATATATCAGCCTGTTAAATTAAATTGAATTTAACCTGTCATACGCAGTGTTCATTAAATTTACCAAAGAAAATAACTTAATAGCCCGGGGCATTCGCCATTTTTGCAAGTTTTTTTTTGGTAATAAAATTTTACACTAAAACTCCTTTTCCTTCAGTGGTGTAGAAATTTAAAAATTCAAGTTATACACCAATATATAAATTTAATTGAAATTGAAATCAAAATTTTGATATGAACTTTTTGATACCATAAAACTTTTATAATAATCATAATAAACCCTAATAAATATTTATTATAATGGATTAAAATACTTATTAATTAATAAAATAACAATAAAAAACTTTTTTTTTTCATCGCAAAATTGATATAAATCTGCCAGAGGCAAAGTTAATTAAACCCAACAAAATACAAGCAAATAGAACAGCAAATGCATTAGTTTGATCGGCAACAAAAAATATCATCGAAAATCCTATAATTTATCACTATTGACATTACCAAATTAAAGCGTATTGTACGCGACAGACAGAGGCGAAAACTGATTAATGTGCAAGCCAAATCAAAAGCAAGTTCACGGGCCAAAAGGGCTAATGGCTTCCTAATTACCATTTAAAACCGATGTTCAATATCACCATTCCAAGAGCTATTCAATGCTGATATTTTATGTGCGAGATTATTTTAAATGGTGGGTTTTAAGGTTCAGACAATGATTTTTTGGTGCACCAAAAAAACGATTTTTTTGTTAAACAGCAGTATCTACAAAAGCGGGGCAAAGGTGCAAGTTGCTGCCCCTATTTTTTTAGAGTAAAAGTAAAGGGAAATAAAAAATTGGAGTAAAACAATTTATTTATTATGCTATGTAGAATTAAAAAATATCTGTGCTTTTTTCTCAGCTTGTGCAAAAATGACATGGAGTTTGAAATTCAAAATTCAAAAATAGCGGCATTTAGAGGTTCAATTTGCCACCCCCTAAACTGCTGCCCGGGCTAACCGCCCCTGCGTGCCCCCTTCATCCGGGCCTATAAAAGAGAAATGTATATTAATTTATAGCCCAGTAAACACATACACGTTTTTTTAAACTTATTTAAAACGTGTGAATGGTCAATGAAACGTTTTACGTAGAAAAAACAACGGTTTGATATTGGTATAAATTTACACCAATTAATTTAAACGTTAAAACAACGTTAATTTAAATATGCTTTTTAATAGTGCCTAACTTTTACGTTACAATAACGTTGTATTAAGGTGTTCAGTCAACCATATATTTAAATGTTTAATTGAAACGTTAAAACAACGTTAATTTAAATATGCTTTTTAATGGTGGCTAACTTTTACGTTACAATAACGTTGTATTGAGGTGTTCAGTCAACCATATATTTAAATGTTTAATTGAAACGTTAAAACAACGTTAATTTAAATATGCTTTTTAATGGTGGCTAACTTTTACGTTACAATAACGTTGTATTAAGGTGTTCAGTCAACCATATATTCAAATTTCAGCCCAGCGATATTCTACAATACAAATTTTTGAATTTAATCTGTTGAACAACAAAGCCAGCTGAAAACAAGCTTTTTAAGCCATTTTTTTTTTATAACTGATAGGGTTTTTCGAAAAATTAGTCTATTTTTCATCGTTTAACAAATTTCTTTTTTGTGTTTTAGAAGCAGCTAAATTTTCCACCGAACGATAAAAATGATTCACCTGAAGACGACTGGAGATACCTCCAAAACCTTTCCTTCATTAAAAAAAATCATTGTCTACAACCCTTAAACACTCTGTATTCATGTTGCAGTTAACGTTAAACGAACGTTTAATAAATACGTTGTAAAAACAAGTATTTGTGGAGTTTTATTTATTATAATATATATATATATATATATATATAGAACTAACGTTAGAAAGGACATTAATTTAAATATAAGGTATAGATAAACATTATAAATGAGGCCAAAAACAATCTTTAATTTAGGTTTTTAATAGACGTAGGTATATTAAACGTTTTAAATGTAACATTTCGAAACGTGTAATGATCGTTTTCTTAACGCCAAAATTAAACGTTTATTTATTAGTATTGTTAAACGTTATAATCTGCAACATTTTAAAGTTGATTGTAGTTCATGTGTAATATCAATATTCTCAATATCAATAAAATGTTAAGTTTTTTTATTAAATTTGAAAATAACTATGTTTTGTTATTTTAAAAGACATAATAACAAATCGATTTTATTTTAACTTTAAGTTAAACTTGCAGCTATCCGGGAATCGGTTGTCATAGTTACCCCAGAGCTCAAACATATCTATAAATAACAAAAAATAATTAACTTAAACATTATTGCAAATAGAGTGTAGGGTATTTATCTTTTTAAAATTTTTTTTATCAAATAATAAATAAATACATCTAAAAATTTAATTAGGTGTTATAAAAGGGGTGCTAGTTATATACACTGTTCAAAATTTCATGACCATTTTAACACCACACATGGTCTATATCGATACAAACCAAAATGGTGTTAAATATGGTTCGTTGGTCCAGTGTAAATTCAAATACTAAAATAGTGTAAATTTAACTTTCACACAGTATTCAGTGTTAAATATTATGTGTTTTTGGTCAAATTAAATCATACTACACAGAAAAAAAAGAAAAAAAGGGAAACAGGAAGTTTCTTGACGCATTACTAGTATATCACCAGTGGTATTATTCCAGAAAATTGAACCTTCAACTCGCTAGAGATAATGTTTTCACCAACTTAAAATACTTCAAGTATTAACAGCTGTTTTCATCTATTTAAGGTCTCTTTAGTATCGAACAACTTGTAGTGTAACAGCAAAGCAAAGGACTACCTGAGCTTATATACTCTTCATGTAAGTCAACAGAGGCGAGATTTAAGAACATCACGTGATCCACACCGCCTTTGCAGCGATCGGTACACACTATGCAACCAGGAATGCACGGCAAATTGTTTTAATCGTTTTAACAGAGTGCTTTAGGTTGAAGTAACTCCTATTTTACAAACAACATATTCAGTAAACTGAACCATACAGCGGGTTGGTTTCACTAAAGTTTTCTGGGTTAATTTAACCAATTTAAAAAAAAAATAAAATAACTATCTAGTTTAGTACCGTCAAACTAATCTTTGTTTATATTAACCTTCCCACAGTTGATTTAAATAAATACTTATGTGTCAACTAAATTAATATAGTTAAATGAACTATTCCTTTTTTTCTGTGTAGGTGCACTTCTTATATGTTTTTAGATAAACACCGTTTTGGTGTTTGCTGTATATAACATTTTCAACCATAATTCATGGTGTTTATATTAACACCACTTGGTGTTGGATTTTGACACCATTTTAAGATTACTCTTTACACCATAGATATTTTAAACAGTGTACATAGTTTTTATTTGTTATAACTGGTTATTCGTTTTATGTGTTTATATATATTTTTTATTGCAGAAAAACAATTTCCCTTACAATAACCGAGGAGGACAGCTACGAAAAAGACGTCCTTTTTTACGTTCAACTCGGGGAACCCCAGATGTCGGGTGGTAAGATTAACTCCAATTAAACCTATATTTTTACTCCTTACTGCCAACTTCATGTCAATGATTCTTTTTCATATTCTCTACACTTAAACTTGCCCTCTTCTTCTTCTTCTTGTACTGTTGCCTCCTTCTTCTACTCTGCCTACTGCACATTGGCAACATCGCACTGCATGTTGTTAAGTAAGTAATGGCGGTGTTGAAGACTTATTTATTTTTTTGTCTTGTCTTGTTTTGTCCTTTTGGCACTGTTTTTTAATTATATGTTTAGATTTCGGAATAGGAAAAACTTTTTTATTTTTTAAGAAAAATTCATTTATAATAAAAATTATGATTTTAGCTTTGGATACCTCAAATTTCTAAATATTTTAAATGTTTTTTCTATACCGTTGTCCACAAAGATATCAATTTTTTGCATTAAAATTTGCACGTTTAATATTTGTTTTGTGTTTTGTCTTGTTTTTGTAATGACTGTGTTTTGAATTGTTGTTTTTTGTTTTGTTCACACAAATTAAAATTAGATTATTTTTTTGTAACATTAAATGACTATTTTACTAATTTCTATACAAATAATTAAATTAGTTTTTTACAATTTTATTTTACAAATTTGATAAAAACGCCTCTGAGAAAAGTAATGCATATTAAAACCACTCGTACACCATTAATAAAACACACGAGCAAAATATAAATTTAAATAAGCATTAAAATTTGCAGTTTTCTAATTACCAAATTATTATCTGCACCTTTTTAGGAAATGAAATTGCCAACAAAATTGTATTTTATTGTTTTTGCAGTTTTGTGTTTACTTTACCATACATTTTTATCTGGGTTTTATAGCATAAACTTTCTATTATGACAAAGGCAAAAGTTTTCAAGTAATATATTACGTTATAACGTAGTGAAAAAATTAAGGTGTTTTGTGTTGTATATTTATATGTTTAGTCTTCAGAAAAATATGTATGTGTATAAATTAAAAGGCCTGTGTTTTTCTAATATAAATATGTATAAATGTTTTATTTTATAAAAAATAAATGAGTATTTATGCATAAATTGTATGCATAATTATATGTGATTATTTGCACACAAAATATTTGTTTTATATATATTCTCCTTTAAAGTGGACCTAAAATATGGCAAAAAAATTAATAATATATATATTTTATAGATTTTAAAAATAAAGGTTAAAAAAACGTACCCGTGTCTCGCCGTTTCACAAAATCACGTCAACAGATTTTTAATTCTATATTTTGTTATAAATCATTTTTTTTCTTTAAATATTTTATGTTTTTACATATAGGTACAATTTCTGGTTTTAATTTTTGATTTTTTTTTAACAAAACAACAGATTTGTATTTATCTTATATTAAATATATGTTAAAAACAAATCTATACTGGTATCACAACCTAAAAACACCACTTGATATACAGGGTGTTTCACATTCGTGGTCCATTGAAAGTTTCTGGGGAACGGAAAAAATATCGATTTGAAATTTAAAATCGTTTATAATCCATTACCTAATTCTATTTTTTTTTTAAATATTTTGTACAAAATACCACTTCCGGTTTGTCTGAAAGTGACATCAACTTTGTTATTTCAAATAGAACACCCCATATATTTTTACATTTTTAAATTCCACATAAAATTCTGAGTAAAATTACTATATCATGTCCTATACCTAAAGTGAATAGTTTTCTAGATGTTTGCTATTAGGTTTACGGATATGGGTTGAGAATCTTAAAACGTTGTTTAAAAAATGTTATATCAATTCTTTAACATTTTTCAACAAATTACCCAAGAAAACCCAGGGCAAATTGGGCTAACTTGAAACGTTAATAACTTTTTTATTTTAAATGTAACACCCGGTATTTTAATGAATTGACATGGAATCTTTTAAACAATGTTTTAAGATTCCAAAAATTCTACCCCCATTTCCGCAAACTTAATAACAAGAAAGTTATAGGCTATTTTTGATTGACGCGCATTTGTCATATTTTAAGGGGAAAAATTAATAACTCGAAAACTATTCACTTTATGTATAGGACATGCTACAGTAATTTTTCTCAAAATTGTATGTAGAATTTAAAAATGTAAAAGTATATGGGGTGTTCCATTTAAAATAACCGGTCAAACCGGAAGTGGCATTTTGTTTAAAATATTTTAGAAAAATAGGCTTAATTGGATTATAAACGCTTTAAAAATTTCAAATCGATATATTTTGCCGTTCCTCAGAAACTCTCAATGGACCATGAAATTGAAACACCCGTATTTCCTAAATGTGCAACACCCTGTATATAATTAAAATAATTTTAAAATAAATAAGTAATTTTAATGGTTGTCCATTTATTCAGTTAATAAATTTTTCATAAAAATATACTGTCCAGCTGTTATCGAAGCTGTTATATTATATGCCGAATACCGTAAATAACATTTTAGTAAATCGCACTTAAAAAAAATGACGTGATCTAAAAAAACGCCGAGACACGGGTATCATTTTTTAAGTCTATTTCAAAATATATAGAAATTTTTCATGGGAGGGGAAAATTTCAAATTTTGTCGTACTTTGTAATACATAAAATATAACTAACTTTTTAAAATTAAGATTAACAAATCATTTTTTTCTTCTTTTAGACGAGGTAGCAAGTTTAGCAGCCGAGGCAGAAAAGAAAAACCCAGAAGACAGAACGGAAAGAGAAAAAATAGCCATACTTGGTAAGCCTAGGCTGGGCGATACCATCAGAGCCCAGATTCGTATAAAAGAAAGCAAAGAATTTAAGGTAAATCCACAAAATTACGAATTCATTTAAATTGACAATTTTACTTTTGTTATTCCCGCATTTACGAATCGTCCATTTTAAATTTTTACTCGAACACCGCAGTGTACCGGTTTGGTTTCCTATTTCCCATCCTTGGTAAATAAATAAACAGACAATGCTTTGAAATGGTTTGTTTATTTATTTAAGGCAGTAAAACTTAGTTTTAAAATAATAAGGCAGAACACAGTAGTCAAGTGCTGACGTTTAACATTGGAGACCAAAATGGCCACCACGAAGTTCCAATTTAACTCCTATTAATTTGATATTTTTAAATCAATACAATAAAATAATGGACACTTTAATAATATTCTCCAAACATATCACACGTAACTGAGGATAGACTGATTTATGGCTAATTCTTAAGGGACCTGAGACATCCCAGAAACTTAAATAAAGAGACAAAACTCTTGAAACTTTAACAAACTTCCAAACTATTTGCGTTAATGAATTAAACTTAATCTTAGGTACAGAACTCCATTCAAATATTTAGCTGAAACTAAACGGTTAACCAACTTTACTATGCAATATAAAACATATTATAGGTCACAAGTTTTCTGAAAATTGTCTAAAAACAAAGTTTGTACAATATTTTATCTTCAAGCGGTTTCTAACTTAAACTTTATTATTGAAAAAATTTGGATTGGTAACGTTGTTTTAGTCTATAAAAAACCCGTTTGGACCAATAAAAAAATTCTACCTCTACCTCACCTTACTTATACAGGGTGTTATGTAATTAATGTTATATATTAAAATACTGAATACCTTTTGACATAAGGAGTAAAGGAAAAATATTTAAAAAAATATTTTTCCGAAGATAAGTTTTTTATATTTTTTGTGATACGCCACTGGTTACACACTTAGTTTATCTCTGCAAACTTGAATTCTGTGAGTACATAGATACCAACCAACAAAGTAGCTACACGTTGCCAGATGTAAAAAATTGTTACTAAAAATTTTTCTTCAAAAAAATAAATAAAAACTCAATATATAAAAAATTTTTATGCCTTTAAAGCTCTAACACCCTTCTGTATTTATTTACCCATCCAGCTATTAGCTTAAGCAATGATGAAAATTTAGTACCTATTTTAAAAAATCCATATCCAAAAAATTAATTTTTTCATCAGTTTTTTTCTTTCTGTTTACTCAGATGAAATTGGGACCAGTTCACAGGTTAAACTTTAAACATTTAATTTGTTTAAATAAATCCAAAAAATCCCTTAGTTAAGATATTTACAATTTGAGCACATAACCTAAAAATTAAAAGAAATGCACTAGATTCTGCCATAAAAGTTGGCAGATTTTGTTTGAATTTACCTTCAGTACAAAAATGACATAACCAACAATTAATAAAAACGCCAAATTGACAATTTGCATTGTTAATTTTGTCATTTTTGCAATTAAGCTAAATTTAAACAATGTTTGTCAACTTTTTTGACAGATTTTGGAAACCATGTTGTTACCAACCATAACATAATAAATTAACCAGATTAGCCTAAAGTTCCTAGTCGATCAGTGGCGTATTTTTTGGTAGGATAAAGGATAAATTATTTTTAGACTTTGGAATTTAGAAGAAAAAAGTTTCAGGTGCTTCTTTATGGACCCTAAGGAACAACCCATTTTAATATATAACATTAATTACAAAACACCCTGTAATTATAATTGTACATTTTATAATAATAATAATAATAATAATAATAATCCAGGGGCGGCAAATTTAAATATAATAATAAAGGGACACTAATAATTTGAAAATGAAAATAGCATGTTTGAATTAAGTAAAAATTACATTATATCAACCGTATCCAGTGGCGTAACTACAGGGTGGCAAGATGTCACGGGCCCCCGGACTAAGGGGCCCCCGGCCGAAGAACGCCCCGGCCCGAGAGGACCGCAAGCACAGTTGGGCCTAAGCATTGGGCATTGGGCATTGAACTACATTAAATTGAGGAGGGCCCCAATGGGGCCGTATCGATACAGATCTATATTGTATGGATCTTTATCAGTACATACACTGTGTATGATAGAAGAAAATAATTTGACCTATTGAAAATGCCATAGAAACATAATAGGTGTTTTCGCTGTGCTAATCCCGAACTAGTTCAGACATCCTAGGCATGCGCATTTTAATATTTGTCATGCGCACTTTACAATTTGAACGCCAAATTTTAAAAAGCGCATGCCTAGGATATCCGGAATTAGTTCGGGATTAGCTCCGCGAAAATAGCTAATATTAATATTAAGTTTATTAGTCCAAAAAATTGTAAATACAATATAGAACACGTCAGTTAATATATTAATAATAAATTTAAAATACACAAATGCAACAAGCTTAAAAAAATTACAATAAAAAGATATAGGTACAATTATATTACATAAAAAAATCTTCAATACTACTCTCTAAAAATGAATTAGTCAAAAATGACTAATATAATAGTTATTAATGGCTGCTTTTTCACTTGTAACATGGTTAACCATGGGATACATGGTATCCCAAAATTTAACAGCCAATTCTTATGCAAAATTGTCCCCTGAATCCGAAAATGTCGTCAAAAATGAAAAAGTAGAATCAATTTTCCATGTATTATGGAATTGACTTAATCTCAAAAACTGCTCCACTTTCATAATTTTCGGATTCAGGGGACAATTTTATATAAGAATTGGCTGTTAAATTTTGGGATACAATGGTATCCCATGGTTAACCATGTTACAAGTGAAAAAGCAGTACTTAAAAGTTGTGAAATATATTTTTTATTCAAATATCTAAAAGGAAATATGAAATACCTAGTTGATATTTAAATTATTTTAATGAATAATGTAATGTGTTGCATATTAAATATTTCTAAATATTTTACAACTGGCGACGTTGCTTCATATCTGAAAGTTCTTGTTAAGAAATATGTGAAAAATTGTATCGTTAAAGTTAATTTTTATACAAAAAGTTCTGAAACATCAAAATTTTTAATTTTTTATATATAATATTTCTTTTTTCGGTTCGTGTCAATAAAAATTGTAAATTCTGGACTTACCACAACTGCTTTTGTAATTGAGGACCCTAGAAGCCAACGGGTATAAGTACATTTTGTTTAGGTTTGAAATAATCATGTTTTAAGTAAAAAATCACTTGTAAATTGTCAAAATTGTTTATTGTTTTATGCCTTTGTTTTTTAAGATGTATAACTTTGGAATTCTTTTATATCCCTTGGATACATTTACTTTATTTTTCTGTACATACCTACATTTTTTTTAAATGTCACTTGTAACCCTTGGCTTCTAGGGTACTCAATTATTTTCTATGTTTTTAAATGACGTTAAAAAAAAGGAAACTCACAATAACGTTTTATGTAATTGCGTAAGGTTTAATAATTAAAGTTGTTTGAAAAAGTTTTCCTGTAAGTTTAAGAGAATTAATAAAAGTTTTATTATAAAATTACGCAGGCAAAGCTTTAACACACTCCTAATAAATTCTCTGTAATGGAATTAAAACGAACGAAAACATTAAGCAACGTAAATTGATTACGACATTATTTTAAAGTTAAGGTCGACAAAACCATTTTAAAAAGCTTTCGAAAATTGGTTAACACATATTGATCTTTATAAAAAATATTTTGAAAATAAAATTAGGTTTAAGATCTTTATAGTTAAATTAAATTGTAATATAGGCTAGAGACCCTTCATTAAGGATATCTATAGAAGGCTAATTTTGATTCCATAGACATTTCAAAAGTTGTTTTGCATTTTAGAACACCGTTGACAAGCTGGTGCAAAGAGCAAACGCCTCTCTGCTTATCGGTACTTCATCGTGGAAAGAACAATTCGTGGAAGCCATGACTGTAAGTCCTAGTGATGATGACGCCAACAAAAAGGAACCATCTAGTCTGGACTATATTATGCACGTGCTGACCGTTTTTTGGAAAATTTTATTTGCATTTGTACCTCCCACAGGTAAACGATAACCCAGGAACGTCTCTAACAAGACATTTCTGCAATCATGAATTTTTTCTAGATATTTTCAAAGGATATCTTTGCTTCGTGGTGTCCATATTTTGTATAGGACTCGTAACAGCTGTAATAGGAGATGTGGCGTCTCATTTTGGTGCAACACTCGGTATAAAAGACTCCGTGACTGCCATAGTGTTCGTCGCCTTAGGGACAAGTATACCAGGTGAGCAAAATAGTATATTTTGACATTAGGTTTTTAAGAAATTTTGACCTTAAAGTTATTACAACTTTAAAACATTTTATACTTAATTAATAATTACGTTCTTGTTTAAAAAAATCGTTTGAAATATGAAATGTTCATACAAATCATAAAAAGGTTGAAATTAAAATCTTTAAATTAAACTTTTCCTTTGAAAATCCTTTATAAAACTTACTTTGTGGTCAATGCTTTTATTTGTTATCATAATCTACTGTATTAACTCCGACGAATCGATTTATTCACTGCATCGTTGCATTAAAAGCCTTTAGAGAAACTTAAATTTGAAATATGCCCACCGATGTATCACTAAAACCGAATCCTCCGGCTACATTATATAGCCTAAATAAAAAGTATTGAGAAAATTTTATCGGTATCTGGAATAGCGAAGAAGAAGGTCTGGCATCGTTCCATGCTTGTAAATAAACAGGCCAAAATCTTAGCGGAAAAATGATGACGCACCCGCATGCTATTTGTCTGGATTTCAACACATTGGATACGATTTATTGGAAAGGAGACAATAAAAGTGCTCAACGTGTTTGATTAGCTTTAATTTTAACAAAATGTGATTTACGATTTTTTTTCCAATATTATTACGTGAAAGGCCTACCGAATTACCTTTTTATATATAGGAAATAAAGATTCTAACCCGCCACTGAAGCCTTTTGGCATCGAAACGTTTATGATATACATCAAAGATCCCAGTTCAACATCACGTAAAACACCGATACATTGCAACTTTTTTTACTCATTCCCGTTTATTTGTTTCCTTCAGACACATTTGCCAGCAAAGTGGCCGCCATTCACGATAAGCACGCGGACGCCAGCATCGGCAACGTGACCGGCAGCAACGCTGTAAACGTCTTCCTGGGCATCGGCGTCGCGTGGTCGATAGCCGCTGTCTACCATTGGGCAAAAGGAAATGTCTTCCGTGTCGATCCCGGCAAGTAAGTACCAATGACTTCGGCCCAACATTAACCCAAGTTAATCTTAAGATTATCAAACACACCTTATATACTAGGTAACATCAGTAACATCGGTGGGATGTAAGATATGTACTAGATCGCCCTTGGTTGGCTGTAGATGGCGATGTGTAAGAACAATAGTTTTCAATAATTAAAATTGGTTTAATTTGTACGATCTTTTAGGTTATTTTAAGGGATTTATAAAGGGTGCGGCAAAAAGGTTGCCCCATTTTCAAAGGGTCATTGTTCGGCTCGTGGGGGGGATAGAGCATGCTAGCAGTGCGCGTGGTTTCTTTAGGTAGGTACGAGCATACCATTTTTAGTCGTCATAATGAATCTGTCAGAAATATTTGGGATGTCAATAAAAATGAAACTAAGAAAATAATATTTTTATTTTTAGGAAACACATTATTTTATACATTTCATGTTTTAGAAATAATGTCTTTTAAATGACCGCCTTTATTGTCAATGCACATTTGAAACCTATTACGACAGCTCGTCATTGCTCTGCGCGCCATGTCTTGCGGAATTGCGTTGATTTCTTGCCTTATTGCTGCCTTTAGATTTTCCAAATTTTGTGGATGATGTTTAAAATTTTGTGATTTTAGATACCCCCATAAAAAATCGTAAGGGGTCAAATCAGGTGAACGCGGAGGCCACCCAATATCACCTCGTAAAGAGACAACTTTGCCCGGACATTTTATTTTAAAAAACCCTAACGTAATTAATGAACCTTTAAAAAATGGAAAACTTTTTCTTAGTTTGATTTTTGCTCTATCCCCCCACGAGTCAAGCAATGACCCTTTAAAAATGAAGCAACCTTTTTGTCGCGGAAGAAACATTTGATAGTTGAAAAACAGTCAATTTCTAGAGACTAAAAATTTTCTAATGTAATTATTGTACATTACATTAAAAAAATTTTAGTCTCTAGAAATTGACTGTTTTTTAACTATCAAATGTTTTTTCCACAATTCCCATACAATGTTTTCTTTAGTATTGTAATGTTAATTAACTTCAAAATGTTTATATCAGCAATAACCTACGTATAAACCAAAAAGCATTGAAAGCATAATCCGCAATATAAGGGAAATATTTTAGAAAGGAATGTAGGAATTGTTATATGAAACTTGGTTATTTAATATATGGGTAAATCTAATCTTAAAGTGGTTTTGGTAAATTATTTGCGTTCCATTTTAAGCGCTTATTAAAATCTTTCATAACTAAAATTATTTAGACCAAGCGTATATTAAAGTTCTTAGTATAAGGGGGAAAGTTATATTAAATTATACACGCTTTAGGCATAGATGCAAACTTTTTGGTTGTGATATTTTTAATTTTTTTGTAAATTATTTGTTTGTGAAAAAATAGGAACAAAATATACAAATTAAAAAAACTCTAAGCAACACTAATTAGAGTTCAGACAGGTTCACACTAAATAGTGTTGTTTTATAACACTACAATTAGAGTTAATTTTTAGTGTAATTTTCCCCAAGTAAGCAAGTATGATTTAACACTATAGCACTGAGGATAAAGTAATTTTACACTGTATTAAAAAGTGTTAATTTACCTAAAATCGTGTACTTCTACACTTCCTGGGTAAAATCCCACTTTTGTTCAGTGTAAATTAACACTACTTTGGAAAAGTTCTAATTTTAGAAAGGTACTTTTACTCTTTTACTTCTAATGTAAATTAACACTATCATTTGAGTAAAACCTATTGTTGATAGTGAATAAAACGAAAAGGTAAATAAAGAGAAACATTTATTTGGAACAAAAATCTATGAAAATTATCAAAATCGGTGCCTTTTAAAATATAATTTTATATTCGAGTCGTACGGCTGGCTTAAGCAAAATGGTTCCTTAAGACGTAAAAGTTTTTGATCAATGCAATGTTTTACTGGCTGTCAACTTGTAAGCAATCAATTATATTGAGAATTCATCAGTAACTCATTTTTCTGTTATAAAAAATGGGTGATCCAATTGGTAGAGAGGCGTCAGGCGGCTGTATGTCGGGGATTTACCACACGTGTACAAATTTTCTATAATATTAATAAAAATGTAGGTATAGGTTAATATAACAACCATTACGCTTGAAAATAAAAAGTAAATCAAGTGTGTATGTATTTATATTATTAAAGTTACAAGTACCCGACCTACTGCCGTAAATTATTGATATATAATATAGGTCGGGTATGGACATCCTGTTAATATATTGGTATTTATTGAGTATTAAGGCTTAAAGAAAAAGGAAGTACCCGACCTACTGCCGTAAATTATTGATATATACACTGTTCAAAATTTCATGACCATTTTAACACCAAATTAATACCATACATGGTCTGTATCGATACAAACCAAAATGGTGTTAAATGTGGTCCGTTGGCCCGGTGTTAATTCAAATACTAAAATGGTGTTAATTTAACTTTCACACAGTATTAAAATAAATTTTACCTGGTGTAAATTGAACTCCTTTTCAGTGTTAAATATTATGTGTTTGTGGTCAAATTAAATCATACTACAAGGAAAAAAAAGGAAACAGGAAGTTTCTTGACGCATTACTAGTATATTACCAGTGGTAATATTCCAGAAAATGGAACCTTCAACTCGCTAGAGATTATGTTTTTAGTGTATAAATTCTTCATGTAAGTCAACAAAAGCGAGATTTAAGAACATCACGTGATCCACACCGCCTTTGCCGCAATCGGTACACATTTTCAACCATAATTCATGGTGTTATATTAACACCACTTGGTGTTGGATTTTGACACCATTTTAAGAGTACTTTTTACACCACAAATATTTTAAACAGTGTAATATAGGTAGGGTATGGACATCCTTTTAACATATTGGTATTTATTGAGTATTAAGGCTTAAAGAAAAAGGAAGTATAATACTTACCAAAAAATAAGAGTGTCCTCTTATGGATTCACCGTAATTAAAATCTAACTGAACAAAAATGCCACACTTCCACAACGCGGTATCTCCGGATATGCACTGCGTATGTAGATAGGCACCAACCAAACATTTTAAAACGCATTTCGGTTATAACCAGTTTTTTCAGTCTATTTTGCCACTATTGGTGTAATTTAACTTTAATTGTGATACAATGTGCACTAGTAGTGTAAAGAAAAAAGAGCTCTTAGTAACATCAAAACAAAGAAATTGCACTGTAGTGTATATTTTGTCACTATTTAACACATTAAGGGGTAATATATTATATATATATATATATATATATATATATATATATATATATTAAAAACTTAATGCGAGTGTTTATAAACACTCGCATTAAGTTTTTCTAGCCTTTTGATTTATTTTAATAATAAATAGTGTGAATGTACCAATGAATAATGTTCATATTCTTTAAATGTGTTTAATAAAGTTAATAAGCACTAAATGCTACCTAGTGTATTTTGTAGTGTAACTTTTACACTTACAAATCAACTCTAATATTTTTACCCCTACACTAAAAAATTTGCACGGGCAAAATTTTTTACTGTGTAACAGTCTAACAGGTCGAGAAAGCGCCTATTTTATACCCTAGCAGTGTTCACTGCCAACTTACAACTGCTTACATCCTAATTATATTTTGTATATGATTTAAAACCATTTTATTGCCTTTATCTCTTTTAGTTTGGCCTTTTCTGTGACAAACTTCTGCAGCGCAGCCGTGATAACAATAATCGTCCTGGTACTGCGCAGATCGAAGATGGTAGGGGGTGAACTGGGCGGTCCGGTGTGCCTCAAGTATTGCACGTCAGCTTTCCTTTTCACGCTGTGGATCATTTACTTAGTTTTGTCCACGTTGGAGGTGTACGATGTCATCGAAGGCTACTAGAAACCCACGAAAAAAAGTGGTCGTTGAGTAAATTTTTTATATACTTTCGGTAGTGTGATATTGTTAAAGTATTATTTGTTGGTTATGTTTTAAACAAGCTGGTCCGAAATAAAATGCAAGGTTGGCTTATATAAGATCCAAGAACACTATACCTTATATTATATTAGTGAGATGTAATGAGTCATTACTAATGACAATTGGTCATTGATTTTATTCTGAAAAATCAAACAAAAAAAGTACCTACAAATATTGGTTTTTATATGAATCAGTGGCGACTCATAAATCTAAGAAGGTAGTGCCAGAATGGTGCAAAATCAAAAGTTTCTTCAATAGCTTAATTAAATTTACGACAGCGCGTTTTTGGTCCACTTTTACTTTGTTTTTGGATTTAAAAATCGGGTATAGGACTAATACGTAGTTTTTTTGAGCGAAAAACTACCAAAACAGTTTTTTAAGATGATAATTTTATTCACTGTCACATACTTATAGTTTATAATTAAAAATTTGCCAACATACAACCATTTATCTAATTACGCAATGTTATACACAAAGTAAACGTAAAGAAAGTCAAATCAAACGACTGAACTATCATATCGTATACGATATCCCTACAAAATCTCTCTTTTCATTAGTGCCTGCGGAATTCGCACGGTTGCCAAACCTTACATAACTGAATATAAAAAGAAATTCATAAAATTCAATATTATTAAGATGTTTTTAAAATAAAACATATTTTCTTGGAGGTGGCATGGCTCCGTAGCATTAACTTACGAATCGCCACTGATATGAATGCATTTTATTTTGGGACACCCTGTACTTACTTAGGTTTAAGACCGATTTTAAAATTAAGGTTATCATATTGTTATTGATTTAGTCATCTGATATTAACTAAATACAAAATATTATAATATCAAATTGCTGTTGAATGTCAAAAAAAAACTAAGTGTTTATTAAAATAATTTATGTTAATAAAAAGACTAAAATAACAATGAAAAAAAAATGCCAGTGTTCAAAATGATTTAGAAATACCTAATATTGATAATGATGTTGTTTATGAAATAATTTTAATTATTGTTAACATAATGTTGGCCCTTCTCCCTTTTACTTTAAGAAACCATACCACTGTATAGTTGTATGGCATACTTTACATAAATGAATCATGTTCTGGCACGTGTATGGGCTACTTTACTTAAGAAAGTCTTAAAACTCTCGTTTTTTTGTTTAAATTAAATAGCATAATCATATATGATACGATATTAAAAGTAGACAAAACATGTAATGTCAAAATGGGAATTCAAAAAAAATTAAGTCTGAAGCATGGAACCACTATATCTGAAGTGTACTGTAGGCAATTGTTTATTTAACAAAATTTACAAACAGAATACGAATTTAATTAAGATTATAATTGGTAGTAAAAATGTGTAGTGTTGAAATAATTTAGGTATTTCGAGAAAAGGGTCTTAAAACTCGAATTTAGTTTAAAATCTAGAAAAACATTTTTCTTAGGGCCATTTTATCAATCTCTGGTTAAGTTCCAGTTAGTCTATCTCACAGTTACATTCTTTATCGATCGTTGTGAGAACAATGGTATCCATGGAAATTATCTGTCAGTTAACTAACTGCAAATTTAACTGGACATTGATAAACCGGCCCTTAAGAATCTTTTTGCACAAGGTAAACTTGATCCTCGGGGTGTTAATCAGTGGCGGCTGGTGGATTTTGGGTATGCCAATATTTCAGTTATTAGACATGGGACCCACACCAAATTTATAATAGTTTAAATGACATTAAATAGTCAAGTTCGGCGCAAACTGAATTTAAATTGAAGCTTGCGAAAAAAAGTTAGTTTTTCCTGTCGCCTCACCCGCCTCTAGGCCCCCCTATTTAAGATAATTCAAATTAAAGTGGTGCTATAATTTATAGAAAAATTTAAAATTTTATTAAAAAAATCCAAATATTACAGGTTTTATACCATTTTAAATATTTTTTTATTTTAATAAAATAAATAATAAAAATTTAAAATCGAATAAAATCTGTAATATTTGGATTTTTTAAATAAAATTTTAAATTTGTCGATAATATTACAGGTTTTATACCATTTTAAATATTTTTTTATTTTAATAAAATAAATAATAAAAATTTAAAATCGAATAAAATCTGTAATATTTGGATTTTTTAAATAAAATTTTAAATTTGTCGATAAATTATTATAATTATAATAGGAGATAATAAATTGCACCACTTTAATTTGAATTATCTCAAATAGGGGGCCTGGAGGCGGGTGAGGCGACAGGAAAAACTAACTTTTTTTCGCAAACTTTAATTTAAATTCTGTTTGCGCCGAACTTGTTTATTTAAGGTCATTATAAACTATTATAAATTTGGTGTGGGTCCCATGTCTAATAACTGAGATATTGGTATACATAAAATCCACCAGCCGCCACTGGTGTTAATTAAAACGCGACATTACTTTCCAAAGCACAATAGGTGTGATGGAGAATGCCGTGATTACTTTTTTGGTTTCTATAGAGATCATTTTTTATAGAAAGTAAAACGTTAAATTTCAAGAAACACACCCCTAATATGAAATTTTGTTAGTTTCTTTAATAGATAAACTAAACCTTGACCATTATGTAACTTATTAGATATCTTGTTAGAAAAAAGGACCATTTTACAACTCTTATACCAAAAAGTTTGTAAAATTCGCTAAATAACTTTTTGCAGCATTATAAGAATTAGCTTTTTTAAACATTAGATCTGCTTTGAAAGCTTCAAATAAAACAACGATAATTTTAATGAAAACGATTTTTTTATTTATTTTTTAACCCAATAATGTATTTCATATTTATATAGGACATATACACTGTATATTATACAGGGTGATTTAAAGTTATGCCATACTATCCCAATAAATCGATGGTGTTATTTTGAAACGCCCTGTGTGTTGTAGTTGTTTGCCTGCCTAATTTGTATATATTTATAGTTTTTTCAGTGATAGATATTTAATTTTTATATAAAGTGTTAGGTGTAATAGAGTATAGAGGACATTATTTGTTTGTGTTATTGCTCTATTTATCTTATTTGCCCTTAAAATATTTTTTAAAGGTGAAAAAGATATATTTTGGAAAGATAGGTGCATACATTATAGTTTTTAACATGAATTTTGGATTTTGTTTTCAGTCTTCCAATTTTTGCTTGTATAAAAATAGTACAAATATCTTCTACAAACAGTATTAAAAATAAGTGTTTACTTATTTTTTTTATTGTAATAAGTTTAAAAGCTTTACAATGTATTCTGTCCTTTACTACAATATGCTCAATTTGTTAAAAATTATCGCATTCTATATCTTAATAATAGGCTTCTAATGATAAATAATGTTTCAAGATGTTTATAGAAATAACTACGGATTTCAATGTTTAATTTTATGTATATCTGTGTAGTGTCCAACTTAATAATTATCCATGTTAAAAACTAAAGTTATATTTCAGTAATTAAACTGTTGAAACTGATCTGCCTAGTTTTCATCCTCATAACCATAGTCGTCGTAAGTTTCTTCCCCGTAATCAAGAAGGTCTTCTTCATCAATATTTTCTTCCTCTTCATTAAAAGGGCAATTTTTGCACTTACTTTCATTCACCCCGTAGTTTATGCAGTGTTTGCCAATACACTCGCAACACCCATCGTGGAACCACCTGTAACTCGAAGCACCCATGGACTGACAACTGGTCTTACATTTTTTCCAACTCATACAATCCTCCCAGTATGCAACTGTGCAGTTCAGAGTTATAATGTTGGAGTTTTCAAATGTTTCCTGATCTTTCGTCTTCATGTATATCTTAACCTCCTTCTTGGCTGCATACATACTTATATCTATATCCACTGGAAACGTCAAGCTATTCCATCTATCGTCAGAATATTCGGTAAGGACTTGGAACAACCCTTCTACGCTCTCTTTAAAGTCCTCCACGTGAGATTTGGTGCTTAAAGAAGTATCCGTTTCGTTGACTTGCGGGCACATGTCCACACAAGCACAACACTCGGTATAAAGATCTGAGAGGCAGTTAAAACATGACTTGCAGCAAGAGCACTCTTCATTTCTTTCACAGTCACATGATTTTGTCAAGAGGCATTTGCTTACTATACTACCACACACTGCTTCGTTACAAGCTTCACTTTTTAGGAGATACAATAGGAATGTTAAAAGCAGTAAGGTGATTGCTTGGGATGGCATGTTGAGTTTACTACATAATTTTTTGGGGTGTGGGTTTATAAGACAACTAGGTATACAAATATTATATAATATAACAAATTCTTTAAAGTGCAGGTAAATTTTGCTAGGATTAACATCAAAGTGAATAACAATAATTTTAGTTAATGACGTAAAACTAGGTAGGTAAGTAACGAGTTATTAGGGCCCTAAAGGCTTAATATATTCAGGAACTTTCACCACTTGAACTTGTTCATTTTTGGTATCAGAGGACAATCTAAATTGCACCAAAATAATCAAAGTAGTCATCAAACTTAGCAAAATCTAAAACCAATAACATAAAACAATTTTATAAACATTAAATTATTTATCTCATTTATCTTACCGTTCCAAAGGTACTGCTGCATATTTCAAAAAGGCCCAAGGGAGTAAATTTGATCGGGTAATAAGCGACTTTGATGGCTAATAAGGAAACCTAAAAATCTTTTATTGCAATTTTTTGGTCAACTATACTACTCACTTGATTATGTTGCGAAGCCGGGCAGTAAATAGACAATTTCATCATGTTCTCTTTAAATTTTGCAAACTAGAAAAAAAATGTAATATATAACATATTATTATTATTAATTTGAAACTTACCTCTAAAGTTACTGAAATATGGGCATAGAACACAAGGCAAAGTAAAATTGTCGAAATGGCGACGATATTAAAAGCAACCATTAAAACAGTCCAATGAATAGTCACACATAGGACATAATAAAGTTGTATGGTAATGGAGATAAAAGAACTTATGATTATGCAGACATTTTGTATGGCATAAACATCTGAAAAATCTGAACAAATACTTTTGAGCATAAAATATTTTTCTTCCAACAACCAAAGAAACTGTTCATCTGCGTGGTTATTTTGGATATGTTTATTTTGTTTTAAAACTGTAATTTCGCTAAGATTTCGGAAGAATTGCTTGATCATTTTGGAGAAGAGAAATAGTTGGGTTACTGTGAAACTATTGAACAATAATGACATTGTTATCAAAGTGGTTTTGTATAAAGAAAAACCCGAAATGCTGTAAATGAAATAAGATAAAATAAAGTTTGATAAAACCATAAAGATGACGATGGAAAATGTTTGTTTTTTGATCACATGGCCGTGATTTTTGGAAAATATACAGTCGATGAAATTTTTGGACATATACTGTAACATATTTTGGCTTTTTTTAATGTTCCTCCAAGTTGATACAAAATTTGCCAGGAAACTTGAAATAAATATGCCCAATTGTATTTTATTTATAGTGTTGTTAAGAAAAACATTAGAATCTACTTCGTTGGGTATCTCCATTATTATAAGAATAATATACACTAAAACAAAAACTATACCGACACCAATGGGAATTTTATTGACATGTATACCATTGCTGAGTTTAAAAGGAAGATATCCAAAAATATTGTGGATTAAAAATAACGTTTTCAATGGGGTCAGTTTTAACAAATCTAAAAGGAAAATGGATGAATACATAAAAAATATATAATTTTCTCGTTAAATATTCTCACCTTTTTCTAAGATTGAGTTCATTTTGACTGAATTAGGTAAGTATAGAATAAAAGTTTTATATTTCCCAATACATCATTAAATATAGTTTTAGCTTATTATAATAAATATTTATTGTGCAATGATATAAAAAACGTGAAATATATTTATGAATTATAAATATTATAAAATATTATTTTTTAATGTGATGGAGCGATTCTGATGAAAAAAATTAGAACGTAAGAGAGGTATAATAAAATTATATTTACAAAAGGCAAGCAAAATTAATTAACATCACAAGAGTTTCAGGCATTTACTTGTGTGCTACATTTGGTGCTGCATAAGGATTAGACGTATCCTCCAGTTCGTCACGGAAATTTGAAGATATTCTGAATTGAATCAGGATTATTAAAGTTGAAATTAGGCTTAAAATAGTCTAAAAGATAAATTTATTAATGTGTTTAATAAATAAATATATTATACAACACCCATTTTATTTCTTAATTTTAACCGGTGGGCAAAATTTTACTTTGCCCACGTGCTAACGCTTTTAGTTAAAATCGAAAAAAGTAAGGTTAATTCCCTGCTTAAAATACCCCATAGAGACCCTGTTCAAACCGATAGATATTTGTATCGGAATGTATGGTGTTTCTATAGGGTGTATCGATATGTATAGGACTCATAGTTGGGATTTATGGTTGTTTTATAGGGATATCCACCCTTGATTTATTTGGTATTGGTTTCAATGGGGAAAAAACACATAAATGTAGAAATTAGTTTTCCCCCATAGGACTCCATAGGTTTTAATAAAATTTTGTCAAATGTTTTATGGTTGTTTTATAGGGATATCCCTATATTTCCTTCATTGAGTTATTTGCTATCGGTATCAATAGGGAAAATGTAAAAGTTATGGTGTGCCTATAGGAAATTTCCTATAAATTTTTTATCGGGCGGTTTCCGGAAAAATATTGAATCCGATAGATTATTTTATAAAGATCTCTATGTGGTATTTTAAGCAGGGTTGATAGTTGTCAGAAGTCAGATAAAATATGAAATAAAATTGGCTTTTAATTACTTGCGGAAGTTGAATAAAATATTGTGTCGAAAGAGGAGATTCCACTCACGAGGAATCCCCCCTTTCTCCCACTAGTCGCAAAATATACTATTTACTCACTGTTCCCATGACATTATAGTTGATTTCAAACAAGCCAAACGGTTCAAATTTTATAGGATTAATCGATATTTGTAAAGACAATTGGGACACCTTAAAAATACATTTAGAAAAAAATAAGCTACAGTACATGCATGCATGCATGTGCACATTTTAATACTTTTTGCTTTAAACTTGATTCACAAGACAATGACAATTTGATAAGGTTATCCTTAAATCTAGCAGCCTAAAAATATTAAACGTTTATTTTATTCCAAAAATTATATTTTTACTAATACCTGTGTAGTCAATATAGAATGACAATACAGTATAACCCCCAATAATATAGCTAAAATGCCGACCAAATTAAGGCAAATCAAAATAATGTTCCAGTGTATAACAACGCATAAAATATAGTATAATTGTATAGTAATTCCAATGCAGCAAAGCGTGATGATGCACAAATTCTGAATGGAGTATATCACGGCGAAATCTTTGCAAATGTAGCTCAAGTAATAGTACTGTTCCTCAATTGTTTTTATGGAATCGTCCAGGGAGTTCCATATTTTTTGTGATTTTTCCTTGGCGTTTTGTATCATTTGAAGTATCTTGTCGTTCAAGTTTTGCCAACATTTTAAAATCAATAATGAGAAGAAAATTAGCTGGATTATAGTAACGGTGTTAAAAACTATGGACAACATAATAATTGTGGTTTTGTATGGGGTCACATCAGAGTTATAAAATATAAAAGTAGTAATATAGGACAACAATAGTACGAAACAAATTGTACTACGCCATACTATATTTTTAATGGACGTGGTATCCCTTCTCGTTATAATAATCAAAGAGGAACTAAATTTTTGCAACATGAACCTCATTTTTTTCAGGTTTAACCACGTCGACAAAAAATTACCGAAGAAACTGCCTGTATATAAACTCATTTGAATATTATTTATGGTCCTATTAACATCGGTGTTTTTACGATTAGATAAAAATCCGTCAAAAATAATAAGGTAGCAGTAAATAAACGTTATAAAAAGTCCTAGAAATAAGGATAATTTGTTGATTTTGAAGCATTTTCGGGGAGAGATCGGTAAAAACCCGAAACAATTTTGGAAATAAAAAATCAGCCTGAAATTGTGGAATAAGGATAAATCTAAAAAATATTTTATAAGTTTAATAGTATTAAAGTATTCGACAACTTACTACTCATGATATCCATTAAAGCACTTATACTAAATAATAGGTAATAATTTAACAACAAAAATGTTTGGATCATTTAAGGTTTATTGCAATAAATTATAACCACTTAGGGATTTCAATAATACTTTATGTCAGGCATAATTTAATAAATTACCTTAACCAAAGCTTAAAAGGTATTAAATTATATTTTATAATATATATGCTACCTTCTATGTTGTTATCACGATACACAAACATCGTGGTTGTAATTAAATTTAATTAATACCCTAAAAAGGTACTCAAGTAGTTACTAAAAATTTACTCTTAACAAAAATGTACTTTTTCATAAGTTTTAAAATAAAACAAGGGGAACCATTAAATTACATGTACAATATTCCACTGAAAGGGGCGATCCGGGCAGTTCGGTGCGGTGCCGGTGAATCATATAGGGCCCCCTAGGCATAAAAAAATTGTTAAATAATATAATATTTATTAATACACCATTGCAGACCTACTAAAATATTTATTTAAACCGCATTTTTAAGCTAAGGTATAAAGTGCAGGCTGTCGAGGGCATCCGAACTAGAGGTGGGAAGTTCGATTCTTTTTGGTGAATCAATTCTTTTAATTCATTCTTTTAAAATGATTCGTTCATAACGATTCGTTCGCGACTGATTCACTTTCTGGTTCAGGAACAAAGAATTAACGAACAATTCAGGTTCGACCGAATTAATGACTTGGTTCTTGAATCGTTTGTAATAATGACTTGTATTGGTTGTATCGTTAAATGAATCAACAGTTGTATTATTAAATTATTGGATTCGATTTTTATTTTGCTTACGTGTAAATTAACCTATGGCTTTTCGGGCGCAACAACAGCAAAGCTTACATAAAAAAAAACAAAATACAAGTACCTAGGTTGTATTGGAAACTTTTGAATCAAAAGAGTATTTTGATATTTGACAAAAAATTACCTGAAATATCCCTAGAAATATCACTAGTTATTCAAAAAGACCGACATTTTAGCCTAGTGATCCGAACCTAGCATTTAATTCAGTGCTTGTAACCAAGTTTAAATTTATTTTAAGGTTTGATTCACTTTTTAGTTCACTAGTCGTGATTTTAAACAAATGATTCAAAAAAGAATTGATTCTTTTACAAACTT